CTGGCGATGATTGAAATGAAACCCATTCTTCGGGAGCTTATTACAGCATTTAAATTTACACGAGAAAAAGGCGCCAAACCATTTATAGAAACAAAAACTAAATGGGATATCGCCTTGCAACCAATTGTCAGAGAACTACTTACGGTTCTACCACGGAAAGGTATCGTGCTCGTTGGAGCACATAGCGTTGGAAAATCGACTTTATCCAGATTAATTCAAAGTCGTATAAATGCGGTTTTGATTGACGAGACCGCAAGAACGGTCATGAAAAAATTAAACATGAACGTGGATCTAATTAAAAATGATCCGGAAAAGTCTTTAAATCTACAAGCTTCAATCATTAAATTCCAATGTGAAAGGGAAGAAAAATTCAAGCATCAATGCGCGATATATGATCGATCCGCACTGGATGCTCTCGCATACGCTAAATCGTTTGGCGGAAAACAATGGGAGAGTCTATTAGAAATGCCGGAAACAAATCAATGTATCGAACGGTACAGGCAAGAGGATAAATATTTAGTTTTTATAATCGAACCACATATGGAATGCTTGAAAGATGATGGAATTCGAATGATGTCAAATAGTTACCAAGAATGGAAAACGTTCTCTGATAGTTTCAAAAGTTTAATGAACGATTTTAAAATAAATTATCGAATTATAAATGATCTAGACATGGAACAACGTTTTTCAATAGTATTTCAAGCACTATTTGGTATGTGATAATCGTTTATATTATTTTGTTATACCAAAAATTTTTGATTGTGAAGCGATAACTAATGTACTTTATATTTATTATCTTTTTTATATTAATCACCTGGAAATTATTCAAAAAAAAAAAAAAGAGTAAGAAGAGTAAAATTTAAAATATTTAATCGTAACTTCAAAAAAAGAATTTTTTTTTTTTTGCTTAGCAGAATTATATTTATTTGTTTGTTTATTTGTTTATATTTTAATTATATAGCGATGTATGCAAAATTATTTTCTTGATCAATATTCATAATCCAATTTTTTTTGTTTTTTTTTTTGAAAATCGCAGTCTTGAGAAAAAAAAAAAAAAGAAAAGATAAAAATATAACTTGGTAATTTATTTAGCGTTTTGCATTTAAGCACATTTTAGCCAAATAATAATAACAGCAATAATTATAAAGAATAAAGGCAATGGTATTTTGATTGCTTATTTTATCAATCCATATGTCTTTTGTGTCAACTCTAAAACGTTAATTTGAAACTGTATTAAGCGATAGAAAAAATTTTAAAAATGGTATAATAGCCCAGTTTGAAAGAATTAGAGCATTGATTTGAGTTACATTACTCTATAGTTTAAATATTCCAAAATCGATTGATCTTTAGGGGATTACTTTTTTTTTTTTAATTTGCTTTAAAAATAAGTTTTTTCAAGAACTTTTTACAAGTAAAGATAAATATATAAAACAAAAACAAAAATATATGTAATTTTATGGGAGGAAGATTTCCTTAGATTATAAAGTATATTTTTCAGTTAGGTTCTATATAAAATACAAAAAATTGATTTTTAAATTATAAAAATTTTATAGTGAAAAGCTATCTTTGAATTTAAATACAATTTAAAGGTAAATAATTTATCATTTTCTTTTGAATGACATCATTTTAGTTAAATAAACAATATTAATAAAAAACACTAAAAATATATAAAAATTTAAGAAACATTTAATAATAAGAAATAGCAATAGCAAATATATTTTTACTAATTTAAAATTAATATATTATAGAAATTATTATTATATAAAAAAATTTGATATAAAATATTAATAAAAGATTTAAATATATTATATAATCAACTCTCTATAAATGCATTCCTTTAGAACTAAAAAAATCTACATTTATAAAAGATATGCATTTAAAGAAAATATAGAATTTATATTAGAAAAGCATAAAATATTATTTATCATTCAAACAAATTTTCCTATTTCTTGTTTAATCAAATAATATGATCTATGATAAAAAGATTAAAATTGTTTATTTTTCATTAATAGATTTAAACTGATATATATTTATATTTTATAAATTTTTTTACAATTAAAAATAAAACTTTACACTTGATATTCATCATCAAATTTGAATTAATAAACTAATATTATAATCATACAAATTTTAAGAAAATAAATTTTACATATAAAACTTAATAACAAATTTTTACAAATTATAATTTTTATTTAATTACATAAAATATAGCAATAAAAATCACAGGAATTTTTTGAAGAAAAAATGGTTTAAGAATAAATACAAATATTTATTTTTATATAAGATAATATAAATTTGATTTAGATTTATTTATATATTAAATTTACTTAATAATCTATATATTAATTTATTAAAAAATATAAAAAATAATAATTAAATTATGTAAATTATGTTAATATATTTAGATAGAATTCTATATAGATAGATCAAAAAATTTATTACATAATGTAAATAGAAAGGATGCATTTCTCTAATATAAATAGTATGCATTTATAGATAATGCATTTATAAAAAATTGATCATATTAATATTAAAATTTTTTTGGAAAACGATCAAAATTTTTGATCAAATTAATATTCTATTTATTAAAATATATAAAATCCTATAATAGAATTTTATTTTAGTATTATTTTTTAATTAATAAAAAAGAAAAGGTATTTTAAAATTAAAAATAACTTTTAAAATAGAAACCTTAAGCTAATACATCATATTTATATTAAAAATTATTTATAATTAGAAAACAAAGACTATTAAAATATCTGAAATATTAATTGTAATATAAACATAACACAAATCAAAATGTATTATAGAAAATAATAAATAATATAAGGTTTCAAAAGTAGTTAAATAACTAATAGTAATAGATAATCTGATCTTTTTTTTTTACAAATATAATTACAAAAAAATTTCAAAAGTAAACTTTAAATAGAAAAAAAAATAATATTAAAAAACTTATTACAATTAAAATAATATTTTAATATAATAATTAATATTGCAATAAAATAAAGCTTAGTATAATAAAAATAAAAAGTAATCAAACTATAAAACATGATAACACATATATAGTATAATATTTAATAAATTATAGTTTATTTATACAGCATATAGCAAATTTACTTATATCGAATTTTTTTTAATACAATAAAGATTTTTTTTAAAGATGTGAAAAGTTAAGAATAAATTATTTTAACTATAAAAGATAATTTAACATTTATTTTTTTCTTAAATATAGTAAATATATATTCTTTAATATTAAATAAATTAAAAAAATAAGTTTTCACATTTCACGTTTGTATTTGTATATTATTTTTTATTTTACTTTTTTATTATTATTTTTTTTAAAAAATACTAAGTATTCTATTTTACTTTTTCTATTATATAATTTTTTTTAAAATACCAAAAACAAAGCCAACTTCACTTTTATCTAAGATCTTTAAAAAATATAAATTCCTTACTATAGTAAAAAAATTTATATAAAAAAATTATTTTCACTTTTTTTAAAAAATTAGAAAACGGAAACCGTTGTGAATCCAGAATGAAATTTTATATATGTAATTAAGAATTTTACAATTGATAAAAAAAAATAAAAAATATTTATTAATTATAAGGTATATATTATTTAATCAGCCAATTGGACAATTGTGATCATTCTGATTCTTAATAAATATTAATAATTAATTGTATTATATATTTTATTTGTAAAAATAAAATTGTAAAATAATTGTAATAATTGTAATAATAAAAAAAAATTATATAAAATTGTAAAATTGTTTTATAATCAACATATTATAATAATGTAATAATATACAGTAGTTATTATAAATCACATAAGCTATAATAGTGAAAATGCTAATTTTTTTATAAAATCTTTTTAACGTGTCTATTAAATGATAAAATGGTTACTTCCAGTAAAATTCAAAAGTAAAAATCAAGAGAGAATGAGACACCTGAACAGTATGAAGCACACATTACCAAGCAATATAAAAGAAACTACCAGAAAAAAATGGAGAAAATTGCTGAAGAACATGACGTATATAGTACATATGACTGCGAATATAAAAAGCTAAAGTTAGCTTCAGAACTGACCAGCAATATGAAAGATGCTTAGCAGATAACTGTTCATGCAAATAAGCTATTTGAGCTATAAAATCATAACAGAGTCATGCTAAATTATTGCAGCAAGTTCAAATAATAGAGCTGCAATAAGATTAAATCATGAATTTGAATCAAAAAGACTAGAGTAATGAAAATACATATGAGGCATCTCCTGCTTCTATACTCAGTCAATCTAACAAAGATTTTTTGTAGAAATTTTGTAATAAAGTAGATAAACTAAAACATTCTTATTGCCAGTATATGATGAGAGTTTCCTTCTATAGTGCTTATAAAAGAGGAATATCGTTGCTATTATAGTGAGAATAAATCTTCAAAAAAATTTTCATCAGAGAATAATATAAACTAAACGAAGTGTCTGAAGAGCTTTAAGGACTTACAGAAATTAAAGAGATGCTGATTGCACGAGTATTTCTCATGATGTCAGTTTATAGACTCTATGAAGAACAGTACAGATATCGTGAAAATATAATAAACTTTTCCCAAAATGTACAAGAATTCACCACTCACCTTTCTCAAAATTAGATGTACTACTTGTACGTCAGCAATCAGCAAATAACTCAGAAGAATTTAGGGATTTTAAAGTCCGTTATGTTAAAGTTACTTATGCATTATTTTGGTTGAAGAAAAATAATCATTATTTTAAGAATATTATAATTGATGATGAAATTATTCAATCCTTGCCTGTTGATAGTTTCATTAATGATCTTGCTTTTTTTGTTCTTCTAAATTAGTAATTTCTGGACTGGTTTCAAAATACTCAAATAGATTTGGATAATAATAATGAGAAAAAAGATGTAATTATGCGTATCTTCATTCTGCTTCTTCTTTCAGGTTATCATGAAGATGTTGCCATTTAAAACACCCTTAACCATATACAAAATGAAATCAGTCCTATAAAATGGCCATAGATAAATAATAATCCTATCAATGAATTTCAAATGCCAGGATATATTTCATATATATTCCTAGCTTTATATCCAATCAGAAGTGCAGATTTACGTGCAAAATTTATTAGAGATGTAAAGCTTGCCAAATACTTCAAATACCTACTTTTATATAAAGACAAAAGATTTGTACACTATGCTAGCTAGTGATACTTTGCCTGAATTTTCAAATGCGTTGACAAGCACTACAAGAAAAGAAGGTATATATTAAATAAAACCTTATTGATACTCAAATTACCATTACAGATATTCAAAAAAGAATTAACCAAGGTGATAATCATATTGCTGATAAAATAATGTGATTTGGCAAGGGTCTACGTGATTCTCAGTAATTTTGAAATGCACAATGCTGAGAACTATCTGATATGATTAAGCAGATAGATTCATGAAGCTTGATATTCTTTAAATTCAGTGTAGCTGATCTACATTGACCTGAACTCTACAATTTGATGCTATTTAGTGAAAATTCTGCAGACAATCACTAAAACATTATCAAAAATCTTCATATAGCAGTCTGATTCTTCAGTAAGCGATTTGAGATTTTCTTTATGATATTATAAAATGTCAATAGGATTTAGAAGATTAGTAATACAGGTTCAAGTAGTAGCACTGAGGTAGTATTCATATACATAGAATCAGAAAAAGATGAAATGCATCTGA